GAGCCTGGCTCCCCACTACCTCCTCAGCAAGCAGAGCCGTTTGCTCAATGGGACCACCTCCCGGGGCAGCCGCGCTGCCTCCCCCATGGGCCGTGTCATCCTCATCAATGCCCCCATCGAAGGTGCGTGGGGTGTCCTAGCCCTCTGCCTGCTTCCATAGCCCAGAGGGCCTGGACAGCTGGATTCCCTGGGTCTAGGGGCAGGGAGGGTTGTCCTGGGACTGGGGATGTCCCCAGCAAGAGAAGCACCCCCCACCATTGCACACACCCAGCCTGGGTGACTCATTTAGTCTCCTGTCCCCACAGCCAGCAGCAATGAGAGTGACATCATCAATGCCATCACGGTGGAGAAGAGTGTGGACGGCAAACTGGGCTTCAGTGTCCGTGGCGGCTCCGAGCATGGGTTGGGCATCTTTGTCAGCAAAGTGGAGGAGGGCAGTGCTGCCGGTAAGAGGGAAAGGGTGAAGGACACCAATGGGGATAGGCATATGCCAGTAAGACCCTCTTGAGATGCTCCCAGTGACATGGTGCTGCAGCAACAATGCCACCCTTCGTGGTGGAAAGCCACTGTTTGCTCCCTGCTGTCTTTGGCTGTGAGTTTTTCAGGTTTCCCACAGAGAAGGGCAGGAGAGAGTAGTAGACAGCCCTGTGCCAATGCCTCTGAGCTCCATCCCCAAGCCACAGCGAGGTGACAAGCCACGTGTGCCTGCCACTGCCTCAGTGCCATTGTCAGGCATCCTCACCTCTTCCCATGGGATACAGATCAGATCAAGGAGACAGTTAGGGAGGGGATACCAAACAAAGTGCATCAGTGCCAGGTCAGGTGCCCAGCCAAGCCGTGTGCCCCTCGCAGAGCAGGCCGGGCTGTGTGTTGGTGACAAGATCACAGAGGTGAACAGTGTAAGCCTAGAGAACATCACCATGAGCAGCGCTGTCAAGGTCCTCACCGGCAACAACCGCCTCCGCATGGTGGTCCGGCGGATGGGCCGTGTGCCAGGAATCAAGTTCTCCAAGGAGAAGACGGCATGGTGAGCAGAGCATCCCCCATGCCAGCACCCAAAAACCCAACCCCATGGAGGGCATGATGGGGAGGCTTGGTGGGCGACCCGTAGGGTGGAGGGGCATCGGAAGTCTCTGGCAAAGGTGGGGTACAGGATAGAATAGGAAGGTCTGGAGGAGGCAGGGTGGGTGCAAGTTCCATTCTCAACATCCCCCACCTCCATCACTCTCCTCTGCTGGGTGATGCCAGTGGCGCCATCCTGCTGGAGGATGAGAGCCAGATCCCCGAGCCTCCCTGCACTGTGTCCATGCTCCAGGGTGGACGTAGTGAACAGGCGCCTGGTGGTGGAGAAAAGCGGCTCAACACCATCGGAGTGTGGCTCCGAGGATGGGCTGCGGCGCATCGTCCACCTCTACACCACCTCTGATGACTACTGCCTGGGCTTCAACATCCGTGGAGGCAGGGAGTTTGGCCTCGGCATCTACGTCTCCAAGTACGGCTGCCTTGGGGGGCATGAGGGTCACACAGCACCCCGATCCCTGATGTGCCACCCACCCTCGAAAGACTGGGTATCACCACCACGGGTGCTGGGGCACGGGGCCACCCAAGTGGAGATGTGAGGCAGGAGCAGGGCTGCAGCAAGGGCTGGGCCCCATCCTGTCCCCTCTGCTACCCTAGGGTGGATCCCGGGGGGCTGGCGGAGCAGAACGGCATTCGGGTGGGAGACCAAGTCCTTGCAGCCAATGGAGTCAAGTTTGAAGACATAAGCCATAGCAAGGCAGTGGAGGTGCTCAAGGGGCAGACCCACATCATGCTCACCATCAAGGTACCTGTACCCATCCACAGGGCCCCTGGGTGAGGCAGAGGTCGGTGTGTCCCCACACTGGCGCTGCCCCAGCT